GCCCCCACCACCGCTCTCTGTAACCGCTTTTGTTTTTCTTAGTTCCGGGCAGCGCTCCATTGAAATACCCTAGTATGGAAATTATACTCTACTGCGTATTGATTATTTTCTAGATTGCAGGCACTAAATAAGATTTATATCCAAAGAAGTGATTAAAACCTCTGTTTTTACCAACTGCTGACCCCCTTCAGCTCATCTCAATCGGATGCAAATTTGTGTCCAAACCCTCAAAGAGTTGTTTGTGTTTAGATGGGGTACAACTTGTAACTTTTCAGATACAAATTAGCATTTAATAGGGTATTTCACCCAGTTTACACAGAATCAAAAGAAGAACAGTAATGCTTCCTGAACTGTTTTGTCCCTAACGCTCATTGGCTGACGCGGACGAAGTTCGCGGACCCACCACCAGGCGCGCGACTGCCCTAGTGACGGGTCCGAGAACTTCGTCCGCGTCAGCCAATGAGCGTCAGGGACGAAACAGTAAGGGAAGCATTACTGTTCTTCTTTGGATCCGGTTTGAAATGGGTGAAAAACCCTATTTAGATGTGCTTCAGAACACATCTTCACTGGATACATAATTGTCCTTTCCCGTTTGGAGTGTACTTTGAACTGCCAATACTGATCTGCCTCAAGTATCTGCTTTAGTACATGTACTTCGATCTGTTCATAGTGGATGCCGATAGGTTTATTTAAGAGTTATTTTTATTTTCAAGCGTTCTTGGTTGTTACAGTTGAATCGTACTGACGCTCATAGTAGTCTGCATCATGTGAGAACGACACATAAGCGCTAACCGTTTCTACTCAATGCGAACCACTGCCTGACATGGGCGGTTTAAGGTTTGGTGCCCTTTGTTAGGCTGCGCTAGCCAGAGCTATTACAAGTAATGTAATCAATATTTAAACAAACCAACTATACCCATTACCCATTCATCACTAGTGCTGTTGTCCCGGTACTTTGTTTATTTGTCATTTGTGTGACACCCCTCTCTCGGATTGTAAGCTAAGGACGCCATTTCTTTTGGCGTCATGAGGCACCATCTCAACTACGAAGATACTTAACTACATTTCTGTGACGCAGGTGGCAAGGGAACTGTCCTCAAAATCACAGATGGAAGCAAGAAAACAAATTCGTGGCGATCGTGGGCTGATGTACAGTGGGACCACGGGAAAAAGAATTCTTACCGCGTTGGGGCAAAAGGGTTTGTAGATCTGCAATTTACGACGAATGCCGAAGGTGGTAGTTACTTCATCGAACATCTTCCTGTGTTAGGTAAGTCTTTTGTCCTAAAGTTGTTCAGGTGAGGATGTGCTAAATTCTTACAAATAATGCACTTCAAGAAAAGGGAAAACAAAATATATACGTGGTCTTGTTAAAAAAAATCTCATAAGCACGAACATGCTGCTTTTCAATGAACTAACTGTGAACTGTGCAACAAATTATAACAAAGTACTTTGATGATTTCAACACTGACTGAACTACCCTATTGTGTATAAGGAAAACAAAGGAGCGCTGCCCGGAACTAACAAGAACAAAAGCGGATGCAGGGAGCGGTGGTAGAGGAGGGCGCGCGGAGGAGCGGCGGGTGGAGAGGAGCCTCCCCGCCCGCCGTTCCTCCCAAGGACCATTAAGTAGATGGACTACGCATTCGGTAGTTTCTGCGCGCATTTACAACCGGGCATGTCAACCCGCCACCCGCCGCTGACCGCTTCGGCACTCCTCGGCCGTGCTCGGGGCCTGCTTCGGGACCCACCTCGAGCCGAGCGAGGACGACGCCAGCGGGGCCTCGCTCGCTCGGCTCGAGGTGGGTCCCGAAGCAGGCCCCGAGCACGGCCGAGGAGTGCCGAAGCGGTCCGCAGCCTGTCAGCGGCGGGTTGACATGCCCGGTTGTAAAGGCAACACATCGGGGTGCGGGGTTCAGTTAGCGTAGTCCATCTATGATTTAATAGTCCTTGGTTCCTCCGCGCGCCCGCCCCCACTACCGCTTTCTGCATCCGCTTTTGTTCTTAGTTCCGGGCAGCGCTCCATTGAAATACCCTATATTCAAACACTCTAACAACACATTCAATACAGTGCAAATTGTGTCACATTGCTTAGAATACCATGTAAAATTTGTAAGAACGTGACATTGCCCTTGCATCGGTCTCCTAACGGGCTTAGTGCATGGCAAACGTAGCCAATCCATATGTGACGTTATGACGAACGCTTTCAAAACGTAAAGGGACAGTTTCCCCTAAACATGCAATGTGTTCGTGAACATCCAGATCAGAATCAGATATACAATTCCTTATTAGAAAGTTTTACATGCTTTGTCCAGTTTCCGGCACAAAATTATCAGTCTAGGTGTGCTTGAGTACGTTGTCCTTTTTAGAGAAAAAATTATTCATTTACATTTAGAGTGTGTAACATAATAAAATATTCCAACCACTGCGACACGAGAGGTGGCGTTTAAATGCGAAGTCATTGTGTTTAAATAATTTTTTGTTTTGATCTGTTTTAGCAGATGAAAAGGGCGCCCCGGGCCAGCCAGTTGATCGTAAGTATTAACCTGGCACCTTTGTGTAGGGGAAAAGGTAGTGGTCGACGTCTTGCGTTACAGGCTTCGTGCTATATCACGAAACACTGTTACAGTCGTGCCAGCCCCAGCCAAACTTCTCGATTGGGCGACCGTTACGGCGTAACCTTTTCGCATAGCCTTAGCCGAAAAGTTTGGCTGGGACGATCATTATTGGCGTAGATTTAGAGTTTAAGCTCATCCTGTGCTACTATGTTCATCCCAGCCATTCCCAGCCACAATTCTTGACTAATGCGACACGAAAAGGCTGCGCCGTACCGGTCGCCCCGAGGGGTAGATAACTCCTGAATTGGGTGTACAAATTTCAAGAATTGAATTTAAATTGGCTTGAATTGGCTTGAATTGAAATTGAATTGGTTGAATTGTTTTTGAATTGGTTCGAATTATTGCGATTTTATTTTACTCAATTGCCGTGAATTGACTTAGATTTGCTTGAATTGACTTGAAATGAAAGTAAATTGCCTTGAATTGGACTGAATTAGTTGAATTATTTCCGAAATGTGTGTTGAATTACATTAAATTCGTCTGAATTAGTTTGAATTGGGCAAAATTGGGATTAGGGTACTTTTTAATCTATTTCATGCATTCATAGACGGTTAAAATCAGGAAAAGTACGAAGCAGACGTCCAATCTTGTGCTCTCCTGCGCCGTGGTCCGTTTAGCGATCCGACATATATTCAAGGAGAAATGGGCTGAAATGTGACACAATGTCCACCGCCGGAGCACTATTTTCAGGCTCCAATATGATTGTTCCTCGTCATACTTGGCTCAATGCTCTGAAGACAAGTTCGTGTATGGGTTTTAAACTTCCTACAAGTTCCAACCTGCTCTGAGCAAGCAACGCAATCTTATTTATTTATTTATTTATTAATTAATAGAGTGGGTCGTAGGAAAAGGATTTTGGAAATTAAAAACGTAATACTGCGGAAAAGTTGCCCTATCCGATGATAAATTCAACGCATTTTAATATTTTGAGATAGGATAATATTTTCCGATCCTGCAGAGCGTTTAAAGTTTTGCACGGTTCTCTTATGGGGAAAAGGTTGAAAAAGTGAAATTTATGATTTTTGGCTTTCCAGTAAACATTTTTCGAAAACGAATCTCAGAAATGCAATCTATGCAAAAAAAACGCGTCTAGTGATGTGCCACACTTGAAATTTGAGTGAAGCGTTCGGAGTCATTCAGGTGCCACTTTAACTTAAAACTTACACAAAAATGGCTTTGCTGGCCTAAATTTGCACTTACAACCGACTAAACCCTTCAGTCAAATTTCAAGTGTGGCACATCACTAGACGCGTTTTTTTGCGTAGATTGCATTTCTGAGATTCTCCCGGCCGGAGTGAGCGTTGTCTGGGGCTAGCTTATACTTTTTCATGATTCAAAATTGCACATAGCAAGATGGATTTGCGAACAGACCCATCTTGCAATGGACGACAATAGTCCCTTCCAGTGATGTAAACTGTTCAGTTCATGTTACCTTAACTCCACAGAGAGTAATCGAGGACTGCGTGTGGTGCGTGGTAGGGACTGGTCTTGGGGTGACCAGGATGACGGAGAAGGCCATGTGGGGACCGTAGAGCACTTCCTGGTGACGCAAAAAGTGCAGGTGCGCTGGGACAATGGCCAAGCTAACCATTATTACATTGGTCGGCACGGCCGACTTGACCTCCGTATTTTTGACAACGCAACTGTTGGTGAGTTATCAATCTTTTTACCATATACTCTGCAAGTCCAACTGTATTAAAGATATCAGCGATAACTGCGGAACTTGAATCAGTCAGTTCCAACTGGCTCTTACTATATTTAAGTATACTCTTTTGTCTTGTTTGTGTTGAAAGACTTAGTTCTTACATTTCGAAGTTGCATCTTGATCTACAGAAAGATTTGCGAGAAGTACGAAGAAATAGCAGTTTGGAAAAGCTGCACGAGACTTGTTCTCCAGTCCCTGAAAAAAGTAATTTCTGAATTCTCTCTAGCAGGAGGGGGAAATCACTTGCAAAGTACCTCGTACACTCAACTCTGTATAGGGTCAGGTAGGAGAAACATGAGACATTTCAAGAACTTTAACATTTTCCAGCATGTAAACGGTTACTTGATAAGTCCTACTGCGTCTGGTCGATGTAACATTATCCCAGTAATGAAATTAAAGCGTTACTTAAGTGCCGCAACCTCGGTTGCATGCAGAATACGCGTAGTATGCATCTTTTCCCAACTCGCACTTCGGGGAAAAATGAGGTCACCGTGGGGAAGAAAGACAGGCAAAAACCCAGCAAATAAGATACGGATCCTTCTTGGGGAGAAACGAGACAGCGTCACCTCATTTTTTATACTTATTTTTCCCCGCATTGGTTGCCCATGTGAAGTCAATGGGACTGGGTGTATCTTTCTTCCCCAGGTCAGACCCTAAATCGAGTGTCTCCAGTTTCGAAAATCAGGGCCAAACCTGTCATCAGAGTTGTGCGTGCGAGCCAGATTTTGGCTCGCGCTGGCCCGCGGGTGATTTTTCTGCAGCTTGCGCCTGGCTCGTAGCTGCCAAAGTTCTGCGAGCCAGGCTGGCTCACGCGTCAAGCGCTGGCTCGCAGAGTGGACCGAAAGGTGGGGGTACTGAGAACAACGCGCGCCAGGCTGGCTCGCAGGAACCGACTAGCTAAATGTACGCCAGACCACGTCTCGCGTAACAGGCTTCGCGATATCTCACGAAACACTGTTACGCTGCGACGCGCCTGGCGCACTTAAAGCTAGGCCTGCGGCGCTGACACTCGAGACGAGTTAAATTTTACGATTTAATAGACCTTTTGGTCGTTTTCACCTTATTTTCGTAAAGAAATGCCCCCTAACACTTACACAGTACAAGGTGGGGCAAAACGGACGAAATTTTCGGTCAAAGGTATCTACTCTCACGAGTTACCCCGTCGACGCGTCCGTGCAACAATATCCTATCTGTTTCGTTGCCCCGAAAGACTAGCCTTTCTGTTTCGCTGCCCCAGAAGACTAGCCTATGTTTCGCTGCCCCGAAAGACTAGCCTATCTGTTTTTAGGCGCTCTCTGCAGCGCTGTCTTCTTTTCATTGTGGGTTTGCTCATATTAACGGTAGAAATATCTTGAAAGCAGATGATACCAATTTAAAACTTTAGTATACCTGCGTTTTAATATTTCTAGTTGATTTTTATTTGTGGTGGTTTTGCATCATTTTTTAAATGTTTCACTCGTTTATCGTCTTTGACAGGCATTATTAATAAAGGGGAGAGAGGGGGAAGCGGGGAAGCGTACCGGGTGGCAGTCGCGGCTGTGGGACCCTAGTATTGTTGAGCAGGGACCTGCCGCGACCGACGCGACACTCGGGCGCTCGGGCACTCACTCACTCACTCACTCGGCCCCCCAGCGCCAAATAAATTGTTTTCAGGTCTGCCCTTATGGTTCTCTGTACTCATCGAGAGTAACAGCTAGCTGACACCTTAAAGTTACTTATATATTCTTTATGTTTAGTCAAAATGTTTGTAAGGTATCATCTGCTAAAAAAATAAAAATTGCCATTTGTACCTTGATCTTCAAGGAACACGCAGCACTGTTTACTTTTTTCCTCCTGTTAATATTGGCAAACTCACAATAAAAAGAAGACAGCGCTGCAGAGAGCGCCGAAAAACAGATAGGCTAGTCTTTCGGGGCAGCGAATCAGATAGGCTAGTCTTTTGGGGCAGCGAAACAGATAGGCTAGTCTTTTGGGGCAGCGAAACAGATAGGATATTGTTGCACGGACGCGTCGCCGTGGAAGCCCATAAATTTTTTTTTGTAAAATAAAAAATTTTGCTACCTGTAGTTTTTGATTTTTTTTAAAGTCAATTTTTTTAGCTAGATTGCTCTTCTTCTAACTCGATCTGTCTTTTTACGACACAAAACGACCCTGAAAATCCTAGGTCGCTAGCTCAATAGGGTGTTCCAAGTCTATTGTATTGTATAGTAATTACTCAAGTTCACTGCTCACTAAAAGTACCTGTTTAAGGGGGGGGGGGTGTAAGGGATTTGAACTCTGATGGTGATTAGAGCGATCCAACCACACTAAGCCACAGTTGAGGGTCCGGCTGGCAGGAGGGGTTGGGGGTGGGGTACTTCACTGAACAATAATTGGGGTACGCCCTTTCCAACAACAAATCAGAAAAAACATAGAAAAAAACAACAACAGAAAAACATTAGAAAGATAAAGGGAAAATCAGAGGGGAATCAATCAGAGAAAAGAAGAAAAATTGGTGTATTCTTGAATTTATAGTAAAGTACAGTATCCCTCGGGGAGGGGGGGGGGGGGGGGGGCACGATACTGTAGGTTGACTAAATACACATACAGGGATCTTGAGACAAATTCCTTACCCCTTTGACGGCTCACGTTAGAGACAGAATATGTGGAGGCGACCACCCCCCCCTCCCCCCATCTCTTCCGTTCTAGGACCAGAGAACCGGTTGCCTACCTACTAGGCAGACCTCCATTCGTTTTAGTTTTGATCTGTATTTTTTTTTTACGTCTTCTGTTATTTTAGTCCACTTTGCTCAGCTACCCCGTGCATAATGTTAACGCACGGGGCCCTACGTTTACAGGGTTTTTGCTAGTCTCATTCGTCCCCACAGATGTCACTTTCTTCTCCGAAATGCAAGTTGGGGACAGTACGCAATTAGTTCGTTTTCTGCAAATAGCGGAGCTTGTGACATTAAAATTACGATTTAATTTCATTAGTGGAACTATGTTTCATCGACCAGAAGCAGTAGAGTTACCACATGACAATTTATATGCTGAAGAAGAAAAAAGTTCGTGAAATTGCTCGCCCCCCCCCCCCCACCCCAACCTGACCCTATACAACAAAAACTGTCTATCGCAAAAGGCGCGGCAATAACCCAGGGCATAGAAACGCATTAGGGTGAGACCCGGACGAGGCGCGATACCGGTGAAAACAGTTGTGAATAAAGTATACATCCCTCGTAAAAAACAACAAGCAGGCCCGCCCTTCCGCCAAACGGAGTTGCCAGCTCCACTTCGCTGCGTCAGCAACTCCGTTCGGCAGGGGCCGTGCCTGCTTGGCCTGCCGGCGGCGATGATCGGGCCTTCGGCCCGGCCATTTCAGTCTCGCGATTTACCGAAGTACATAATCAAATAAATAATGTGACCCGTAAATCACTTTGTATATTTGAGTTAACTAATGCGTCAGGTGGGGGGCCTGCGGCCCTAGAAATTTGCTCCTTGAACATGACAAAAGACTGTAACGGGGCAACACCGTGACTACACCCCACCCTTCTGCTTTGCTTAAGAATTAAAACAAAAGAACACGCGCAGATTGTATATTGTAGATTGTATATTGTTTGTCAAACAGTCTTAAAACTTGACTTTTTGCAATTGTTTCAACATATCTACCTCTAGCTCCTAAACGGTTAAAGATACGGTAAATCAGAGCGTACCTTCAGACTCAGAATGTGCTGTTTTGGGGGGTACTTTCTCGGACATTTTACGATTGGACGCCTCCTTGTACGTCTTCATGTGCAACGTGGTCATTTTCACCGTATTTTCGTCGAAAAACCAACTCTAGCATTGTTGTGTCAAAAATGATTTTTTACTTTTTGGACCAACCCATATTTCTTTGTTAACCCTTTCACCCCCTTAGGGGTGGTTGCCAGGATTTGCACCAGGCGTTTCGTTGTCCAGGAGTGACCCCTAAGATACCCTGAAATTTGCAGACCTCTAGCTCTAGCTCATCTTCTCTCCTCGGGGTCCTTGCAACTGGTCCAGTCCTCCAACTGGTCTAGTATGCAACTGGTTCAATCTTGCAACTGGTCTACTTTGCAACTGGTCCAGTCTTTCGACTGGTCCACTCTGCGACTCGTCCACTCTGCAACCGGTCCACCCCTCCAACTGGTCCGGTTTAGACGTTTTGCAACTGGTCCAGTTTTTCATCTGGTCCAGTCTTTCAACTGGTCTAGTATGCAATTGGTCCAGTCTTGCAACTGGTCCAGTCGTTCAAGTAGTCCAGCCTTGCGACTGGTCTAGTCTTGCAACTTGTCCAGTCTTTCAGCTGGTCCAGTACTGCAACTGGTCTAGTCCTTCAACTGGTCTACTTTGCAACTGGTCCAGTCTTTCGACTGGTCCACTCTGCGACTCATCCACTCTGCAACCGGTCCACCCTTTCAACTGGTCCGGTTTAGACGTTTTGCAACTGGTCCAGTTTTTCATCTGGTCCAGTCTTTCAACTGGTCCAGTCTTGCAACTGGTCCAGTCTTGCAACTGGTCCAGTCTTGCAACTGGTCCAGTCTTGCAATTGGTTCAGTCGGGGGCCACGTGTGTAGATCCGTGCGCTGGAGTACTTTAGCGCACCTCCCGGGTGACATTATGGTCCTTTCTCTGTTCCCTAAAAGTAACTCTACAACTGTGTCCTGTCAGTTGAAATGTGTTAAATACCTTACATATATTCTACATGCGCCATGGCACCTTACGGCAGGGCGAGTAGGCAAACCTGCTAATGTGTGACTACAGAAGTGCGCGGGGTTCACCCTTGTAGCAGAGCTGCATAAAATGTACATTTTGTGTCCAATCTAAAGAGCGCCTAAAACGCGTGTAGGCGCTTAATATGCGCGTGCATGCGCATAAAATGTGGACATTCCAGGTGGCTTATTAACCCCGCGCACTTCTGTAGTTAGACTGTACCGCACGCAGGAGAGC